CTTCGGGACCCCAGCTGGGAGTTTGCACCGCCCCCCGCCTCTGTCCCAGCCCCGGTGTCCGGCGCACAGGTGCCCGCCGGCCGGTGCCCAGGCTCCTACTGCTGCTGCTGCTGCTGAGGAGCCTAGGCGAGCCTGCACCTGCACCTGCTTTCCCTCCTTTCCCCGCCTCCGTCCCTCCCTCCATCCCAAACTGGCTCGGGGGTCCCCCCCCCGCCCCCCCCCGCTCCGCTCAGCTGCAGTGTGACTTCTGGAATTTGGAACCTAAGAGGAGCATCTTATGGGCGGCGAGGCTAAGTGCCTTCCGAGAAGTCTGAATGGGCTTTCCCCCCCGCGATGTGTTTCTCGGTTACATCCCCATTCATAGTGGGGAGTCGCACAGAGTAAGACTGCGTGCACTCTGTGAATGAACCCTTCCCTGAGTTGTGTGCACACCGAGGCTTATCCAAATCCGTTAGATTGACAGTGGCACTCGTTCCTTTAAGAAGTAGAACTGGTGTGGTTTTTTTTTTTTTTTTTTCCTCTCCTGTCTGTCTCATCTCAGTTTCACAGGTCATATTTTGATGTAATGCTTGACTCTGGCGTATTTTCCGTCATCTTTTAACCTTTTATTCCTGCCCCTTCCCATTACAGATAAGCCATTTGCATTGCTACTACTGACTTGAACGAAATCCGTATATACAGGATGAAGTTGAGCAAGGGTGCACAGATTTCTCTGGGCTGTCTTACAGAACAGAGATAAAGGGGTGAAAGTTGGTTTTCTTGCCGATAGCTTGTTAAACATTTTCATTTCAAGCCCCTTGGCCTTTATGAGCCTTTTGGCCAAACAGTAGCTGCAAGAGTGAGGATTAGGAAGAATTCTCTAAATAGTGACTGCTTTAACAATGCATGAAAAAAAGGAGCGAGGAGGGAAGTTTTCAAATTCCCTGCAGGGAAGACGTAACATGACTGAACTGCACAGTTGAAGTGCCCTGTAAATATTGAAAGATCTGCTTCAGCGTCCTTGTCTTAATGACTAGGAGTGTTGAGAGAACTAAAACTTAAGATGTCACAAAACAAATGCTGTTTAGAACCAGGGTCTGATAGCAGGGCTGGACGCGTAGCTCACTGGGAGAGCATTCGCTGACCTTCAGTAGGACTCTCTTCACCCAACACTGGGGAAAAAAAAAAAAAACTAAAGTAAATTAAGAGTTCAGGAAAGAGTCATGTATGTGAAACAGTGTGACATTTTACTAGTGCTTTGCTTTTGTAGTAGCACTTTCACTTGAACACAGTTCTGTGAGCATTGGAAAAATCACACCCATTTTTTGATGGTCTTGATATGTTAACTTTGTATAATTGATGATAATAAAATAGTGTAAAACCATTGACATTTGTTCTTACTAACATGAGTCATTGAAAATATAGTGAATATCTAAAGACTATTTTTATGTTAGAAAAACAGCTCCTAAAGTAATATCTATACACTTGGACTGTGATGAGCAGACATTTCAGAATCTCTCTGTAATATCTTAATTATTTTTGCCTTTTGTTTCTTCTAAAGGGAAAATATGACCAAATATTTCTTTTTAAAAAATAAGCAAATGCACAAAGAAGGCTTCTAGTTACTTTCTTTTATCCCAGACTGAGCTGTTTCTGCATGAAGGGTAAAGTTAAAGGGAGATATTAGGAAGTGAATTCTTTGTATCTGTCCTCTCAGGATGTTCGTTTTTTTGGAATAGTAAAGAGTGAACTATCATCTGTTAATCCACCAAAAAGGAGCTCAGGATTTATCATACAATAAAGATACCAATGGGATTCATGCCCTTTTCCTCTCATCCCACTGGAGAGTTGATGGCTTAGAACTTTTGCAGCTGTTACTGAAATCTAAATGAAGGCTTACCCAGTTCATTGAAATGTCAAGGCATTTTAGAAACTTTTTAATTCAGTACCCCATGTAGGAAGTAGAACTGTTTATATACTTGGTTCACGGAGAAAGGATTCATTATAAAGATGAAGCATTAGCAGAAGAAAGTTTGGCAACGCCTGAGAAACTATGTCTTTTGCTTTCCATTTGTTTTACTGCTTAAACAAGTAATGGAGGATTTCTTGGTTAATATTGTCTTACCATTTTGAGCCCTAATTCAGAATCATTTCATGTGAATTTTCATTTCAAGCATTGTTTTTATTGTATTACATTTGGTGTTGTTTTTGTTCTAAGTATGTACATTTACTTTTAAATAAATAGAATGACAGTCATTTCTGTCTGTAACTTCTGGCATTTACATAAACAGTTGATTCATAGTGTCCCTCAGCCTGCTGTCTAGCTGTAATAATTCTGCACTGTGATCTGAGCTTTTAAAGCAGTGCTTTTGCCACTGAGGGTCAGTTCCCTTTTCTGACTTTGCGAGCCACTTCCAAAGCTACTTCTTCAACCTTCCTATTCTACCTGTTATTCTGTAATGAACAGGTGACACTGCCTTTATCATTCATGGAGAAATTAAGTCTCACTGGACAGTAGCAGCTCTAGCATGCTCTCCATGGTGTCATTATGGCTGTTTCTTTACATTTAATTTAGGTTTTGTTCCCATTTTAGAGGGGCCACTTTTCTTCATTGTTTTAGGTTAGATTAACCCTTGTGCTTGTGCTCTTTATTCAGTTGCTTATTGTTTTTGAGATCTTGTGCCATCATGTATTCATTCTTTGGATATGTGTAATTTTTCACCATCTTTGTCTTTTCTCTGCTGTCTACAACAGTGGTCTTAATGTTTGACCTTTCACAGGGATTCACCTTGAGTTGTGCTCCTTGTCCTCACTGCTTCCCTCCCTCCCTCCCTCCCTCCCTCCCTCCCTCCCTCCCTCCCTC